AACTGAATCCCTTTCTCTCGCCATGCAGAAAAATTAACTCAAAATGGATCAAGGAGCTAGGGATCAAACCAGAAACTCTGCGTCTGATAGAAGAAAAAGTTGGCTCTAATCTCCATCTCGTGGGGTCGGGCTCCAAATTCCTTAATAGGACAACTATAGCACAAGAGCTAAAATCAATAATCAACAAATGGGACATACTTAAACTAAAAAGTTTTTTCTCAGCAAGAGAAATAATAAGAGAGGTAAATAGGGAGCCTACATCATGGGAACAAATTTTTACTTCTCACACTTCAGATAGAGCCCTAATATCCAGAGTATACAAAGAACTCAAAAAACTAAACAATAAGAAAACAAATAACCCAATCAACAAATGGGCCAAGGACCTGAACAGACACTTCTCAGAGGAGGACATACAATCAATCAACAAGTACATGAAAAAATGCTCACCATCTCTAGCAATCAGAGAAATGCAAATTAAAACCACCCTAAGATACCATCTCACTCCAGTAAGAATGGCAGCCATTATGAAGTCAAACAACAACAAGTGCTGACGAGGATGTGGGGAAAAGGGTACACTTGTACATTGCTGGTGGGACTGCAAACTGGTGCGGCCAATTTGGAAAGCAGTATGGAGATTCCTTGGAAAGCTGGGAATGGAACCACCTTTTGACCCAGCTATTCCCCTTCTCAGACTATTCCCCAAATACCTAATAAGACCATACTATAGGGATACAGCTACATCAATGTTCATAACAGCACAATTCATAATAGCTAGAATGTGGAACCAACCTAGATGCCCGTCAATAGATGAATGCATAAAAAAAATGTGGCATTTGTACACAATGGAATATTACTCAGCACTAAAAAATAACAAAATCATGGCATTTGCAGGGAAATGGATGGCATTAGAGCAAATTATGCTAAGTGAAGCTAGCCAATCCCTAAAAAACAAATGCCTAAATATCTTCTTTGATATAAGGAGGGCAACTCAAAACAGAGCAGGGAGGAAGAGCATGAGAAGAAGATTACCATTAAGCAGGGATGAGAGGTGGGAGGGAATGGGAGAGAGAAGGGGAATTTCATGGAAGATGGAAAGAGACCCTCATTGTTATACAAAATTATATATAAGAGGATGTGAGGGGAAAGGGAAAAAAAGAGAGAAATGAATTACAATAGATGGGATAGAGAGAGATGATGGGAGGGGAGGGGAGAGGGGATAGGAAGGGGATAGGAAAGGCAGCAGAATACAACAGACACTAGTATGTCAGTATGTATAAACGTGGATTGTATAACCAATGTGACCCTGCAATCTGAACACGTGGTAAAAATAAGAATTCATAACCCCCTTGAATCAAATGTATGAAATATGATATGCCAAGATCATTGTAATGTTTTGAACAACCAATAAATAAATTTTAAAAAAAAGATACACAAATATCCAACAGGTATATATAAACTGATCAATGTTACTAGTTATCAGGTAAATGCAAATCAAAATCACAGAATATTATTTCTTATCTTACCATAGGAACTTCAGTCCTTGATGACTCAACAATATGAAGCTGGAAAGAGGAGATCTCATGGGTGTGTCCTGGAGGGAGGAGTAAGGAATGAATTCCTGATTTAAGGAGCAGAACAGAGGGGCAGCTGCCAAGGCACTCAAGGACCGGACTAACCTTGAGAGCTGATCTGATCACTGAGATTCCTTCTTGACATCAGACAAGTGACTGGGGCCCTGGGCCAAGGTAAGAATGGTACACATATCTTCTTCCCCAAACCTCATATGCCTGAGATAGGTATCCCACACACGTTGGGCAAGAGAATGCTATATATTTGCACGTATATTTGCACAAAGCCTTTCTAAGAAAAAGGTAGGCATATAGATTTTTAAGAAATCAATTTCCTCAAATGTATGAAAGGTCAGAAAAGCCAAATTTATGAAATTTGTAGAGACAGAAAGTAAATCAAAGTTCCTTGAGCAGCAGGTAGGAACAGAGATTAACCATCACGGGCATGAGGGATCTTACTAAAGCAATAAAAATGTCCTAAGGCTAACTTAATGTGCTGGCTGCAGTACTTGGTGAAGTTACTAAAAAAGTCATTGAAATCTACACTTACATTTTATGACATGTAAAACAGATTTAGATAAAGTTTTCTCTTTAAAAAAAAAATCAACTTTCCAGATCTTCAATGTCCATTTGTGGTTTTTCCTAAAGATGGTCTGCTTGAAAAAGCACCTAATGTTTACAGTTATATAAAATGCCCTGTCCCACTCCCCTTTTTGTCAGGAAAGTTCAAAAAGCAAGAAGGTCACCATCTTTTCCTGCCCTTATTTTTGCAGTGGTGTGTTGGCTCAGTGAAGAAAGCCAGGGGCAACCAAAAGATTCTTCTAAGTACCAGTGTGGGATGCCTTCTTTAGTGATGGATGCCTTAGAGCTTCTTGTCTACCTCAAACTGTCACGTAATTTGGTTAAGAGGGGAGCCTGGTATTAGAAATTAAGTGTTTTAACCTGTGTTGAGATGTCCTGAGTTCTGATATATTGTGAGAGGAGCAGGGGTGTGTTGACAGTTTTCATTAGGCACCCCACCTTTCCACACCTTGGCTCTTATCAAGGAACACACATGGGGGTGCATGCTACAAGAGCCCAGCAACAGCAGCACTGACACAAAACATTCAGTGCTGAAACTAGTCTTCCCAGGTGTTTAGATGTATGTAATTCTTTCTGGCTCTTTCCAACACTCATCCATAGGTTGTGTTATTAGCCAGGGAAAAATCACCTTTGAACAGATGAAGCTGATCTGTTCAGTGACACTGCCTGACTTATCTAGATACACTGGATAAAAGCCACAAATAAAACTTTCACTTGACGTTATCAGATTCAATACAAGTTCTTCAGGAAAGTGGGGAAAGCATATTTTATGAAGTCACATCGTGAGATACATAATCCAGGTCCATGATCACCACTGAAGACACCAGGTCCATTTCACAGTCAGGTCCATTTTGAAGTCTTTTGTACATTTCCCCTAAACTTTCTGATAACATTTTCCAAATATTCAAAAATATTTTACAATAAACATGTATCCTTTTTTTAAAAGCACAATAATAGAAGCTCCTTTTCCTGGGTCAACATAGGTATCACATTCCCTGGGATATTTTATCTACCCACCCCCACCCCAAGGTTAAGTTAGGTATCCTTCCCTTCCCTATGCTCTCAGAAACCTGTGTTAATGATATTTTGCTCCTACCACATGTACTATAATCATTTATTTTTTCTGCAGGCATAGCTCAGACTGAGTTCTTTGAAAACCAAAATTAGGATAGAATTTTCTTTGTATTCTGAGCAGCTAGTTCAGAGTAGGTTCCCAATGAATGTCCATCGAATGAATGAAAATATGAGTATATTCCTAGGCTCTGTGTCTTTTTCCAAAATAAAGGGAGACCAATTGGAGAAAAAAGAAGAAGAAGAGAAAGAGGAGACACAGACAGACAGACACTGAGCTTTTTCTTCTTTCAAGCAAATTTTTTCCTTGCCCAAAAGATAAAGAACAGGCTTTGGGAAAGGAGACAATGATTCTGTCCTTGGACAAATTGAAGCCCCAGAGATTTAAGAATAAACTTCCTGCCAGGTACATGCCTGTAATCCAGGGGGGGGGGGGGTGATAAGAGGATGATGAGTTCAAAACCAGCCTCAGCAATGGCGAGGCACCAAGCAACTCAGTGAAATCCTGTCTCTAAATAAAATACAAAATAAGACTGGAGATGTGGCTCAGTGGTCAAGTGCCCCTGAGTTCAATCCCCAGTAACAATAAATAAATAAATAAACGTCAGTTATAAGGAACCATAATGAATGAGTAGAATTGTAGGAGTCGAATTTCTGAGAAAAAAAAGATTATGAATTTGTCTTTAAGGTTTGCTTCAAAAGCACTTCAAAAACACTTATCTGCTCTGATATTTGCTTAAGATTTACTTAAGTCAAAGTGCTTAAATAAGAGAATTGGTTTTATGTAAATATGGTACATTCACATGCATAGATCTGTGGAGATTTGAGCAGAAGGTCAGTAACTTAAATATCAGGAAAACACAAGTTTCCCCTGCACACAAAGCCTGATGGCACCCAGCGCCTGAGCACTTAAATCAGGAATGGCTACTTTACTTACAATAAATGTTTTGAGACCAAACCTGGATTGATACAACCAACAGCCTGGGTGAGCTATCTGACCTGCCCTAAGGAATTTTAACAACGGTCCAGTGGGTTCCCTAAGAAACTATTGTGTCACTGCAGCCAGATCTTCTTTCGCTCATTTATTCATTCACTCAACAAATGCCAATAAGCAGTTACTAGACACTGGGCATCCTGCTGGAAGTGATAAACACAACACAGTTATTTAGGGTTAGTGAGATAAAATTTAGAAGAGAAGTAAGCACAGGAATTAAGAAGTCACCTTGAGAATATAAAAAATCAGTATGGGGTGGTGGTTTGAAAGGACTCCCCTCATGTGCTGAAAACATGGGATGAAAAGCAGCCAGAGCAGAAAACCGCAGGCAGGGACTGAGGTGTATCCCATGATTTGAGGTGAGAGACCTACAGGGGATAAAAAGGGGTAAAGCTCATCACTGGAAGCAGCTGTGAGCTACTTGGATGTTAGTACCCTACAGTTTACAGATCCCTTTCACATCTGAAACTTAATTTACTTGGTCCTTCCATAGCCAACCTGTGAACTAACTGTTCTAGGGAGTCTCGATGAATAAATATTTATTGAACCTCTGTGTGTATGTTAGGATTTGATTCCAGACAAATAGAAACCATCCAGTTAAAGAGGAGAGAGTAAATATGGAGAATTCTGTGTGCATAAAACCACTGGAAGGACTAGAGATGCAGGCTCTAGGCTGGACTTCTAGTGGTGACCCTGGACCAGCCCAGCTCTTGCCCAGTAAACTTCACTCTTTTGAATCCACTTATTGGAACTGTCATTGCCTTTTTAGAGGGCTTCCTCCCTGGACCAAGCTCACCAGAGGAAAGACAACAGAAATACCCATGTTCGGGCCCCTGACCTGGGGTTGGAAGAACTTCCTGCCCAGTGCAACTCTGCTCTCCATGAGAAGCACCAGCAGTGTGGCCAATAGTAGTCTCAAACTGATCAACAAAGTCGCAGTGGTCACAGGATCCACAAATGGGTGAGAGCAATTCTGGGAACTGAGGCGGTATGGGTGTCTCGGGAGTTCATCCCCACAAAGCAAAACCTACCGGGTTTATGTGCTTGTAGGAGTATGGAGGGAATCCTAAAGAGATCCTAAGAGAAACAATGACAGCAGAAAAAATCCAGGAAGGAGACAAAGTCAGTGCAGGCTGTGTTACCAAGATGGTCTGCTACAGGTCAGAGAGTGATGGGTCCACATGCTCAGAGAAAACATGAAACCGATCTCAGAGGCACCCATCAGGGAAAGGCAGAGGGCATCCAGCCTTTGCTTCTGACCCCCATCAGTCAAGAATTGTACTCCATGGGTTATTAACCCCATCCCTCCAAGCTGCATGCCTGTGAGCCCTGTGGATTCACAGGTCTAAGGTAAGGAGCTCTAGGTTGCAGCTGCAAAGCAAACCAAAACCTTGAAGAACTAGGAATGGATTGTCAAAATACTAGTTCCAGTAAAGGAAAGCCAAAGTCTGATGTGGTACATAGGAGGTCCGGTCACACAGGACAGATGCAACCCCTCTTTATCACTTTGGGTCCTCTTACTATCCACAAGGAAGGTATGAGGTGAGCTTTTCTGAGTTAAGAGTGGGGATTCATTTAGAACTTGAGGATAAGAAATACAGCAAGAAAGGGCTCAGCCCAAGGGTGAATTGTCATATCCTTTCCATCTTTGCCTATAGGATTGGCTTCAGTATTGCCAGGCGTCTGGCCCAGGATGGGGCCCACGTAATCATTAGCAGCCGGAAGCAGCAAAATGTGGACAAGGCTGTGGACACACTACAGAGGGAAGGACTGAGTGTGGTGGGCACTGTGTGTCATGTGGGGAAAGCTGAAGACCGGGAGCGACTGGTAGCCACGGTGAGGGGCATAGAAACACAGTCAGGGACACAGGGATTCTGCTTCTCTGATCCACACTAGGAGACCAGCTACTTGTTGAGTATCAGCCAGGTCCTCCTAAGAATCCGAGAGGAATAAAGAAGTTATAGATAAGGAAGCCCTGGTTTTAAGTCAGAGCTAGCGTGATCAGGAAAACAGAGGGGTGACAGAGACATTTCAGGAAATGGTGTGAATGAGACATGTGCTGGGAAATCAACAGCCCCGCGTGCCTGGGAATAGAACATAAAAAGGCATAGGATAAGTGGGCAGGGCAAATCCCTCCCCCCACCGCCTTTTTTTTTTTTGGTCCAGAAGCTCAATACCTGGTTCCTAAAAGAAAGGAAATAGTCCTTCCTCCTCAGGGTTTTTCCCTTCCTGGATTTGAACCAGACACAACTCCAGGGACATTAAACAGAAATAAAGTCCCATTGTAGCAAAAGTCTTTCACCCTCTGACCCTAGTCCTCAATGTCCCCTTCCCACCCACAGGCCCTGAAACACTGTGGGGGTGTGGACTTCCTGGTGTGCACAGCAGGGGTCAACCCCTTTGTTGGAAGTACCTTGGGGAGCAGTGAGCAGGTCTGGGACAAGGTGAGGTCTGGAGCAACCAAGGAGGGGTGGGTGGGACTTCATCCTCTGAGTGCCCTCCCTACATATGAGCTCACACACCCAGAGCTGGTTCTCAGTTCCCACACATCCACCCTCCAAGCTCATTGGCACAGAGGAAGGCCAGGTACCCAGAATCCATGAGCCTCCATTTTTTCAGCTGTGACATGGTGGAAATGTGTCTAAGTTGCAGGTGCTTGCCCACTCTGTTCAGGAGCTCCCAATCTGCAGGGAGTATCCAACATAAAACCAAATCGTCACCAAAAAAAAATGTAGAGCACAGAGAAGAGAGTGACTCTCTTCCTTGCCTGGAGATGCTTAGTCCTTAACACTGGCACTTCTGGGCTGTAATCCTGAAATCCAGCCTTCTCTGGATTCGCCTGCTGGTGTCTCTGCTCCTGATAAAAACTGTGTCCTTGGAGACAGGAGAGACCTGAAGACTCCAGGTCTTCAACGCCCCCCCCCCCAAGTCCTCAGCCTGATCTCTTTATTCCTGTACTTCAGGAAGCCCCCACCTCCATGCATGCCAGGAAGCCCAGCACCCATCCTGCTTCCCCTTGTCAGAGATGTCATGCCCACATACTAACATGGTATATTTCCAGGTGTGGTGACATTGGTGGACTGACTGTGTCTTCCCTCCCCCACCCCTATTTGCTCTGATTTCAGATCCTGAGTGTGAATGTGAAGGCCCCAGCCCTGCTGTTGAGCCAGTTGCTGCCCCACATGGAGAACAGGGGGTGAGGGTGGGGAAAGAGAATAGGGAGAGAATTACTTGGCATCAAAGAGGGATGGGGGAAGCAAGAGTGAGAGGGGCCAGATTTGACTTAGACCTTCCTGCTTGGAAACAGGATTGGCTGAACCAGTAACACAGAGACAGCAAGAGATTATCTTTCAGACTTCTGGATTTGAAAGAAAGCAAAGCATTCTATCCATTAGTGTACCCAGGGAATTTATCTTGAGTGGTCAGAGAGCCTGGCAAGAGTCCTTCTAAAAGGAAGCCAAGGGATCCACAGACAGAAGGGCCAGAGTCCCCTCAACAGTCCTGAAGTCAGAGAAGTAGAGGTGGCCTCTCTTGGGCTGCAGAAGCTCAGGCCACAAGTGTCCAGGTTGATGACCCTGAGGCTCCCCAGGGCCTTCCTGAAATCAGAGCAGTCATGCTTCTCAGTTCCATTCAACTCTTTCCTCCCAGAATTCTTAACTCTTGGACCAGCCACATCCTCTCTCTCTCTCTCCCTGGAGCCCTGTAATTTCCAAACTAGAAAGTCTTCTTCCCTGCTTCTCCCCAAAACCAAGGGCAGATGCCTACCTGGCCAGCTCCATCTTCACCAGTGAGGTGGGCCTGGGGCTGTCTCCAGCTGCTCTGGTTTTTCAATGATCTCGGCGATATGGGATATTTCCAGATATTTTTTTCAGGAGCTCAGCATTTGTCCTGAGGCAGGAACAAGCTGACTGCTCAGGGAGCTAGGGGAGCTACTTTTTACCTACTGCATTGCAGACCCAGGCATTCAAGCCTCCCATTGTCTGCCTCACCTTACATCCCAGCTTCTCCTGAAGGTGCTATAGCCATTCCCATTCTAATCTTCCAGCTTGGGCCAGTCTTGTTCCTGTAATGAAATAGGTCCCTCAGGCCTCTGCTCCTACTTAGCCTTGAATCTTCTGAAAGTCAAGTCACCAGCATGGTCCTCACTCCCTCCTTAAAATATCAGAGGAGGTTTTTTCAATCTGGATTAACTGTTCTGCAGATGTAGATTTGTTACTGCTGTTTACCCGTGACCAGTCCTTTCTTCCCAAATGCTGAAATATAACACCAGAGAAGCATGCCAAGGCAAGTTTAGAGTGGAAAGTAGAGGCTTTATTAAAGGACAGCAGAAAAGACTTCTCCCAGAGGAAGAAGGGGACCCAAAAGGTGGAATCCATGGAAGGGAGAGGTCTTCCCTCTTTTATAGCTAAGGTCTTCTTTCAGCTTTCCCGCATTCCTGTCCTTTGTTCTCGGTTATCTTGCAATGATGGAATGTAGGTGGGAAAGCCCAAAGGGTGGGGGACAGGTGGGCTGAAGGAGTAATCTGGGCAGGAAGGGCCTGGGCTTTTGGATTAGCATCTCCAAGTTTGCTGAGAGCTGCTTCATTAATATTTCCATGGGATGGTCTCTGGGCCTTGGGGACATTAACATTTCAATTTCCCCAAGTGCTGCTCTGGTTTCCTGGATCCATTCCCAATAATGGCCTCCATTTTATTCATTTTACTTGATATTAGACCCGATTTACCTAACTACACTAACTACCTATGTTGTAAATCTGGCTTCAGATTTAACACCCCTCTTCCAACTAGACTGCTTCCCTTCAGTTCCTCCCCTACTGAAATCTTGGAGCAGCCACTGAATTCAGCAAGCACATATTGAGCTCCTAGTATGACCTGGGCTGCTTCTCTGTAAAATACAGCCAGGACTTCTAATAATGACTATTAAGGCCCCTTCCAGTTCCAACACAAGCACGGTGTGCTATTAGACTGAGCCATATTTTTAATAACACCACTTTTGTAGATTACAAATGGCTAAATATCAGTAATTAGTGTGGTTCTACTCAATGCAATGGTTTTCAGGCTGTTTTTAATAGCACAACAATATTCTGTATAGGAGTCCCATGTATAAAACAGACAAAAGCAGATACAGATGTGCAGTTTGAAAGGTGGATTTGGATCCTGGAGTTTACCCATTTTTTCCTCCACTTAATCCCCTGTTACTTGTCCTGGGTATGTCTGCAGAATCTAACTTCACTAAACTGGTTGTAAACCACTAGTGTGATGAAGTTAGATGGCATGGATTTTAGAATCACAGAGATCTACCTTCAGATACATGTCCTGTCAGAGGCTACACATTCTTGGCATTTAATATCTGTGGGCCTTCATTTCCTTACCTATTAAGTAAGAATAAGGATGCTTAGAAGATCTGTTTTGAACATTCATTGACATGATAAATACATAAATTACTAAGCAAAGTGCACATAAAGAGTATATTTATGAATATTTACTATAATAAAGACATTATTTTAAATAAATATTATATACAGTATAGATTATTATATACATAGTATAATTAATTTTTAAATACTTATAATAAACATTATTTATACTACTACTATTATTTTATTAATTATGGCATCTGAGCAATTAAAAGATTGTCTTATTTAACATTTTGGACAAAGTAGTTCATGAAGGAAACTCCATCCACTTCATTCAGTTTCCATTCATTCTTAATCTACTTGCTAAAATCCTCGTTATCCTCCCTCATGACCCATTTTAAATAGAGTTTCCCATATGCTGGGGGAAAAAAAAAAGAATTATCAACCTAGAATTGATAGTTGCTATACCTACCAAATGCATCTTTCAAAAATTAGGGCAAAGTTATATAACATTTTCAGACAACCAAAACCATTAACTAAAGGATGTTCTAGATAATATTCTTTAGGCAGAAGGAACTAAATGATCCCATATGGAAAGTCTGAGATAAAAGTAAGAAAGGCACAGAAAAAACAGTAACATATGAACAAACTTAACCACCTATTATAAAAAGCAATAATGATGTTTTGTAGGGTTGAAATAATTAAAACATGCAAAAAATAATATTCAAGTCAGAAAGGCAGAAATGGAGATAAGCTGTTATAAGATTTTTATGTTGTTTGAGACAAGATAAGAATATTAATTTCAAACTTTGATAGCTAAACATGCCTGTTTTACTTTCTAAGGTAACATCTACAAGAATTGCAATTGAATATTAAATATTTTTTAAACTGATAGAGAGAGAGAAATAAATAGGAAAAAATAGTCCAAAAGAGAGAATGGACAAAAAAATAAAACAGAGAACTAGGGGAATTAAAAAAAATCACAAAATTGAATGCTAGGTATTAATCCTGGATATCAGCGATTACAGTTAAAAGAAAAAGATTGTTAAGCTAGAAATTTTAACCAAATCAAAATTTTAAAATTGAATTAGATAACAATGGTAGGTTTTCCAAGTTTCTCATTTCTGTTAACTGAGTTTATAGTGCTAGGAAGGAATAGTTCTAGGAGAATTACTATTCTGGGAAAAACTAGGAATCAAGAAGGGAGCCGAGTGCTTGCTTAGCATGTGAGACACTGGGTTCAAGTCTCAGCACCATATAAAATAAAATAAATAAAGATTAAAAAAATCAAAATAGGACAGATAAACCATAGCACTTTATACAAAGTTTCTCAACTCAACTGCTGCATTTAAAATACACCTTTAAATCCTGCTTTACAAAGAAAGAAGTGAAAGTATCTATTTCTGGATTGTAAAGAACAGTGGTTAGCAGAGTATTATATTGTCTATGTTAAATAAAAAAACAAAACTAAATGTGCAGGGGGAAGAAGAAAATGCAGAGAAAGCAAAAAGGAAATAATATGGAGCAGAAATCAATGGAAAAGACAAAATATAATATATGAACCAAGGAAACAAAAAATATTTTAAAACAAATGCCTTTGACAAATTTCTGTGGGAGCTGATCAAGAAAAAAGGAAAGCAAATAACCAATATCAGAAACAATATCAGGAATAAAGATTTAAAGCACCATTAGAGATCTTGAGGCAGAAAAAAGGAATTAAGAGAATGAAGTTTAATAAAATTGACAATTTTTAAAAAATTATATGTCTTAACTAACTCAAAAGAGAGAAAATTTGGCCAGTCCTATTACTGTTCAATAACTGTAATCTATAATCATAAATATTCCTTCAGAAACAAAATCCAAACATAGATGGCTTCCCTGGCAATGTAGTTTGAGGAACATAATCAAAGACCTGCAGGAAATGGAGGTCAATCCCTCTACCTGGCCCAGGCTATTCTCACCCTCCTCCTTCTTGGTCACACACAAGATAACTGTCTTCAGCTCACATTCTACCCTCTCTGTCCTCCCAGACAAGGTTCTGTGGTCCTGGTCTCCTCAGTTGCAGCTTATGTTCCACATGCTGTAAGTATGACCATCTATAGATCCCAATTGGGTAAGAGGAAACTCTTCTCCTTTATATCTGGAAAATCAGGTACATGGAAGTAGCCAATGTTTGACAACTGCTCCCTCAGGACTACTCACATGTAAACATGATGACTCTATATCACTGATCTTGCCTTCTTGGGAACATCTTGCCACCTCCTCCAGGCACTGTCTCCCAGACTTGGCGATCAGGAGGTGTAACTGGAGTGAATTCCCAGGGCAGAACTCAGGAAATCCAAGGGACAATCCTTATCCTCAGTTCTAGCCTATTAATCTGTTTCCCTTTCTGACTACAGAAGCTGGGGGCCTACAATGTCAGTAAAACAGCCCTGCTGGGCCTCACCAAGACTCTGGCAGTGGAGCTTGCACCGAAAAACATTCGGGTAAACTGCCTAGTACCAGGATTTATCAAAACAGACTTCAGTCAAGTGGTAAGTACAGAGAAGAGCTTCTGTTCCTATACCACTGGGCACTAGGGTGCGTTTCACTTGTAAGCCATACCCCACAGAGCCTGGACTCTCAGACTTGGAAAGGTCTCTTGCTCTGTTGCTCTGGTCCACAGCTTTTGGGTTCTGCAGCAGAGTCAGAATCAGTCATATGTAGAGAGCAAACCAAGAGTGCTCCAGAAGTCCTTCCACAACCCTAGGACTCCATCTGTATGAGCAGCACTAACCTTGACCTTTCCTTTAGCTCACTGAAGACCCAGACTTTGAGGAATATTGGAAGAAAATATTTGGAATGCAGAGGTAGGTGTGGTGAGGCAATGTCCCTTGTAGATCTGAATTAGCATCACCTCAGAACCTTCTCAAAAGATAACAGATCACAAACCATCGCTCCACTTTGGGGGATCTGACAATTTCCCCAGACCTGTGATGACCTCACAGTTCCCTACACAGCACCCACATATCTTCCTGGGTAGTTCTTGATTTCAGTATTGCATGTGAGTCAAGTACTCCTGGGAAAGTGTCACCAGCTTCACCCATCTCCTCTCTCCATGCAGAGTGGGGAAACCTGAGGAATGTGCAGGACTGGTGTCCTTCCTGTGCTCCCCAGATGCCAGCTACATCACCGGCGAGAACATTGTGATAGCCGGTTTTTCCCCCCGCCTCTGACCTCAGAGCTTGAGTTCATCTCTTCAGGCCGAAGCTTCATGTGGCCCTGGAGTCAGATTCAGCAATACTTTGTTAAGAATAACCCTGGGCTGGGGTTGTGACTCAGTGGTAGAGCACTCACCTTGCAAGTGCAAGGCCCTGGGTTTGATCCTCAGCACCACATAAAAATAAATAAATAAAGTAAAAATCAAGTGGCAGATATTTAAAAATAATAATGATAATAAGCCTGTGCTCCAAATGTGAAAATTTTGGTTCAAAACCTTCACAAACAGAAATAATAAAGGACATCAGAAGGAGGGCTTGTAGTAAGAAACCATCATCAAAACCAGCTGGGTTCTGCAGCACATGCCTAAAATCCCAGCGGCTCAGGAGACTGAGACAAGAGGATTGCAAGTTCAAAGCTGGCCTCAACAAAAGCAAGGTGAGACCCTGTCTCAAAATACAAAATAGGGCTGGGAATGTGGCTCAGTGGTCCAATGCCTCTGATTTCAATCCCAGGTACAAAAAAAAAAAAAAAAAAACACCAGCTAAATCATTGTTAGCTTTGCCAGAAAACAAAATGTGTGCTTGTGAGTTTTGGCTAAAAAGAGTAAGCTAAAGTCATGCAGAGAGAGAGCTGGAAGCAGGAAAAGGCTGTTTCAGCACTAAATGCTCTCACTCGCATTTCCCCCTAACCATTCCTGTGAACCTGATATTTTAATCCCTGATTCTACATTTGAAGAAGCCAAGGCAGGGTCAATTTAAGGACAATGCTCTGAGTACACACATATAATCCATGAGCAGAAACTGAACTCCAGTCTGCCTGCACAATAGAGTGGAATCAGTGTGGAACCTGAGTCTGAGGATACAGACCAGCCCTCAGGGTCCTCTTCTCTCTGCATCTCCTGATCCTACTAGGCTAGTTCTGGTCCACCTGCACTCACACAACTCAGCCTTCCACAGTTGTGTGCCAAAGCAGAAAGGACTATCTCTCATACAATGAAATTTGACCCTTTAAGTCTGAAATTCAGGGACAGTGGCAAATCCTGCAAGTGTCCTGCCTGAATTCCCTTGACTCACATTGCAGTCACAAGCATCTTCAGTGGACAATTGAAGTCTTCCTCCCTCAAACCCCTAGGGGCCTTCTCTTTGCAGAATGGTCTGTGCATGGGGGGTGGGGGAGTTATTGCCTGCACAGCACACATGACCAATGACGGGTGGGAGATGGGAGAGTCAACACTGCAGTGCTGGCTCCTTGATGGGACAGTGCTGGGTTGCGCTCTATATAACTTCTCAGAGTGCCCAGCAGTGGGCACGCACCCTCAGCAGAAATCTGCTTCTACACCCTTAGTTGACTTTCCTCCCTTGCCTGTCTCTCCCTCATTGTTCTCTCTTGGTTCATCTCCCTAGGAAACATTTGCACCTGAATTTTGGTCTCAGGTCTGCTTTGGGATGATCTACACTAAGAGAGCAAATAAAACTTTTGCTATCTTTTGCTATAAAAGACTAAAAGCACAAAGTCTCATTGAGGTGACACAATGATTAATTAATACTCATTCAGTTGAGAGAATAATCTCTCAATTATTTGTAATAAACACATACAGCTAGAATCGGGCCCAAAGAGTGAGAAGTCAGAGTGGTTGTTGCTTAAAGTTGAAGTAAGTGAATGTTGTATTTGAAAAGGAATGAAGGAAAATGAAAATGTAGATAAATAATCAACATCAAACCCTATCCAAGGTTATTTTGATTCTTAAGCAAAAAGGTACCAAATACTTAGAAGCCAAGGAAGAGGTAACCCTAGAGAGGTATACACACCAGTAGCCTATGGATGTGCACCATTCAGTACAACTGAGAAAGTCAGTTCTCTCTTCTTGATGACAAGCCTTGAAACCTTCAGACAGGTCATGTTTATCTCCACCTATCCCTGGTTGGCCTGGCCTTTTCTCTGCTGAACATTCTCGGTTCCTTCTCAGTCAGTTTTGGTCATCAGACCAGTAACATTTCCCAGCGTCACTGTATTTATTTTCTCAATTTTACATAAAGTGCCTTACAAATAGGGTGTCATGCCCCTCCACCACTACCCACCCACACCAAAGCACTGTGAAGCTTCCCACACACTCCTGAATACTAAGGACAGATTACCCAGACTTTTCCTAGATTTCTCATACAATTATTACAGATAAATTTATTTAATGCCGTAATATGTGCCAGACACAGTATGGCACTGAATCTTCACTTTTAACAGACGAGGAAACGGAGACTTGAACCTTCCCAAAGTCACACACATAGCAAGCACCTGGGAGATTTGAACCCAGTTCCCCAAGTTTGAAGCCTATGTTCTTTTAGGTATACATAACAGTAGAATATATTTTGACGTATCATACATACATGGAGTGTAACTTCCCATTCTTGTGATTGTCCATGATGTGGAGTTACATTGGTCGTGTATTCATATATGAACATAGGAAAGTTATGTCCAATTCATTCTATTGTCTTTCCCATTCCCAAAACTCCTCCCTTCCCCCCATCCCCCTGTTCAGTCCAGTGAATCTCCACTCCCCACCCCATTGTGAGTCAGCATCTGCATATCAGAGACAACACTCAGCCTTTGGTTTTTAGGGATTGGCTTATTTCACTTAGCCTGATAATCTCTAGTCCCATACTCAAAGCCCATGTTCTTAATGAGTAAGCTATACTACAAATTAAGATATGACTCCTGTTTTTTTTTCCTGTTTCTCATATAAATTTTGTTCATTTCAAGTATTTGGAATGCTATAGTTTTGATATTAAGTGTCACCCAAAGTTCCATGTGGCAAAGGCTTAGTCCTCTGTGAAGTACTTTTGGGAGGTGGTGGACACTCTAAGAGGTGGACCAGTGGGAGGTCTTTTGGTCATTGCTGTCATGCTCTTGTAAAGGCTAATGGAATCCCAGGCTCTCTACTCCCTCTTTTCAGCTTTGTGGCAGTTTGAACAGTTTTGCTCCACCACATTCTCCACCATGATGGTGGTATTCCCTCACCACCAATCATGGACTAGAACCTCCTAAACTGTGAGCCAAAGTAAACCTTTTCTCTTTATAAGTTTATTACCTCAGGTATTTGTTACAGTGATGGAAAGCTGGCTAACACAGAGAATGACAGAGTCAATGCTTTCTTTGTCAAAAACCAATTTGAGAATTCACCAAACTCCAACCACTTTCACATGATTGACCTGCAAACCATCATTGTCCCCTAAACTCAGGAGGGGGTCAGGAGGCATCATGCTGTGAATGGAACGCAATATACAACTCACTACCTTTCCAGTGAGGTTGGCTCTAACATGTAAGCAATAAGAGAATATAAAACTAAATGGGTGAGGACTGAGGTTATGGCTCAGTAGTAGAGCACTTGCCTAGCATGTATGAGGCACAGGGTTCAATCCTCAGCACCACATATAGATAAGTGAAAAATAAAGGTTCATCAACAATTAAAAAATAGCAAAAAAAAAAAAAAAAAAAAAAGTAAATCTCACCAAGGGAGATATGGAGAAAGAAGGGAGAATCATGGTTAGGGACAAGAGCATGTGGAGATCACACCTGAAAGAAGCAGCACAAATTGCATAGTCAGACTACATCTCTGAGAATAGCTACCCCAATGCTGAACAACTGAGTGGGCATGCTGGAATGAGCTCATTCCATAGAATGCATAATGACTGTGATTCCACGGAGGGCTCAAGAAAAGGAACAAGAAATCTACTGACATCATTGGGAAGCTCAAGGGATTTTTTAAGCAAAGAATGACCACTAGGGAGGAGTCTAATGGAACTGGTGTCCCTCTTATCAGTATAATAAGAATCTAAAACTGCAAAGGCCAGGCCACTGTAATTACTCTAACAAGCAACAATGTTTCAGTGGTTGCTAGAGATCTCTGTGTCACAGAGATCTGGGGCAAGGGCTAGTAGTAGATAAGGTGTTAAGAGTAAAGTAACAACTTCCAGATATAGTGGCACAATCCTGTAATTCCAACAATTTGGCAGTCTGAGGCAGGAAGATCACAAGTTCAAGACCAGCCTGGGACAATTTAGCAAGAGCCTGTCTCAAGATAAAACATATTAAGGACTGAGCATGATGTAGCTTAGTGGCAGAGGACCTCTGGGTTCAGTCCCCAGTACTGCAAAAAAAAAAAAAAAAAGAAAGAAAGAAAAAAGAAAAGAAAAGAGAGAGAGAGTAATAGAACAGTTGAGCAGAAAACCATGATAATAAAAAAATTACAATTCACATCCCAGACCTAGAATCAGACACATCTCCAAGAAATCTTGGAGTTTTTTAGGGGTGAGGCAGGGGTGGGGGAATGGTAATCTAAGATCATAATTTTATATGGGATTCGACTTTGATCTTTTTCTATACACTGTTGGATGTAAATCTGGATGTTAGGGATGCAATTCATTCAATTTGGTTGTTGATTCTAAGTTTTTTTTCAATGGACAGAGCTAATAAACTCTGTGTGTGTGTATGTGTGTGTGTGTGTGTGTGTGTGTGTCTATAATGGGTTCAATGGTACCTCCAAGTCAAATTTAGAACCACGCAAAGGCCAAGGAATTCAATATCATTCTACCACAAATGTTTTTAAAACAGCTTAATTTTTTTTCAAATGCCATCCCCAACCTTTTTATACTTGGACAATATCTACATTATCAGATCCTATAACCACTGCATACAGACTCCATCTTCGCAGTTTTAGTTTTTATGAGTAACGATAATTGCAGGGGTTTTTACAGTTGTGCCATACCTGCACCATCAGAGCAGAAACCATATTGACTTCCTGATGACCTCCTTTAGTTTTAGCTCTACAAGGAGCCATATTTAATGTTCACCATCAATGTCCTTCTGGTTATTTTGATTGTCCAAAGCGTGTTCTCTAGGGGATTTTTCAGGAAGGGCTTATCAGAGTGACAGTCCCAAATTCCTCCAGGGTATGTTGGTTTTTACACCTTTGTGCTTAAAAGCCAATACCATCAGATACAAAATCCTTGGCTTACATTTT